AGTCTAATTGTTGTTTTAAAACAGCAAATAGTTTCATTCTCTGAATAGCACGTTCAATATGTACCCTGGCCTTTGCTATTTCTTCAGTTTCCAGTGAATCATGCTTGCTTAACTGATTTTGCTTTTTTATTTACCATTGTAGGTTAAACACTTTCTAATTCTTACTGATCACAGACTTGCATTATACCTATAATAGTCGCCATTATGTAGTTCGTGCTAATACCGCTAGATGCCAGATCGATCGTTGGCACAAGCGAATATACACAGGGATTATGAGAACCAAAGTAGTGCCGGAAGCTAGTTTAGATAATATAAATTGAGGAAAATTATATATATATTTTTAATTCACTAGTATTCAGAGAGAAGTAGTTGCAGTTGTTATTGTTATCTTGTTTCAAACAAATGATTTTAATTAAAAATAAAATGTTTGTTTTTTGTTGCATTACTGAAATTGTCAATTCGTCAATGAATTAATTTATTTAACTCGAAAAATGCGTACTCTATAAAAAATTATTAAATTAAAATCGTTAGACTTGAAGGGGACCACAAGATGGGGCTATAAGTTTATCATGGATGGCTCTAAAATTTGTAAGAAAAAATGGGTGAAGTCAGTGACGTAGCGTTGTGGGGGCGGTAGGGGCGGCCCGCCCCGGGCGGCACTTTTTAGGGCGCGGCAAAATTTCAAAATAAATAATAATAATATCTTGTAAAAATTTGAACCATTTCATTTCATATTTCCGTCACACCTACGATTCGGACCGATTGAAATGAGCACGGAACAGTGTTACCATTCGGACAGTCCGGGAATCGACTCACTGTCCGGGTGGACTATTAGTCTTACCTGGGCAATTGTGCACAACCTGTCGACGTTTTTATTTTATTTTTTGATTGTACAATTCATTCGTATATATATACACCTCCAATATCCAATAGAGCTAAGTCTTCTAGGTTACTTACATTACTCCTAGTCGCTAACTGTAACTGATTTAGAACCGGCATGCACTGCTGCACATTATTCTTCGCATTGCAAAGTAACATACGCATGCGTCAGGAACTTCTGTTCGAACAAACCTCACTTGCTGTCTGGGTCAGTGATTTTAAAAAGGTGGCAACACTAGCACGGAATTTTTCATTACTTATAGTGTGACGAAACTGAATTTTAGTCTTTTAAATTGAGATACCTAACTAAGGGGACGGCAAAATTTTCCTTTGCCCCGGGCGGCTGATACCCACGCTACACCACTGGGTCAAGTTCATTTTCTTAAATGGAAGCTTTATTTTTAATATTGTCAATATGTAGAATCATAACTGCTAAGTATTTTCGTTTTTTTATTCAATGAAATTATTTTCGTTTTTTTATTCAATTAAATTATTTAGGCATTCATAAATTCACGCGTGCACAATGTAACATAGATTCTATGTTATATTGATAATTAAATATAACATTAAATTTCCCTTCTTAATTGTCAAGGGAACCACCAATGCAAATGTTAGTTTCTCTTGTTCTGTTGTTCGTATTGTCGTTCTATTGTTTGGTATATCGTTGTTTATATTTGATACATTTGTGTATTAATATATAAATGACATTTTAAAAAATTTTTAAACGAAAGAATTTTATTAAGTAAGTGGAGCTTGGTTATTTAGATCTCTTTCAATCAGATAAATTTATTTTTAAGTACTGTATCTAAAGAGCAAAGATTACAACTAAATATATTTCTGGGGGAAGAAATAATGAAATCGAGATAAAAGTTTTAAAGGTATTTACATTTTTGTTATTTGTCTGGCGATTATAAACAAGATAATAATTATCGTATTATATTTGTTTGTTAATGTTTTTGTTATAGGTTACATACTAACGAATGGTTTAACAATCTATTTAATTTTTTACCAAATAATTATTTTATGCGTTATTTAATTCAAAAATAAGTTATTGTGTAAAACTTTAGTAGTGGGTCTTTTTTTCTATCCATTACGGAGTCGGCTAAAATCGCAATGGCTGGGTAGCGAGTGATTGAGCTCCACATCTTTTAGTAATAATGATATCTCCTTTTGGCAAATTATGCTGCAAAATTTATATATGTGCCATCATGGCTACTTTATTTTCGTTATTATTTGGTTTCTGTTCCCGTGCTCGAGTTATTTAATAAAACAACTACTATCTTAACAAAACTGAAAATCATTTTATCATATGGAAAGCTGCTTCCTAAATTTTTTCAGCGATACGGATTTTATGATGAATAATTTTTCATATATAAGATAAGATTAATGTGTTGATAATTTCTTTAGGAATTGTACATTTTTTATTGCTTCATATCTACCATAGTTATTTTTTCGTTATCGACTACATAATTTCAGTTTTGTAATTACAATAGTAGACAATGTCTGGAATTATAAGTCTCAATCTGTTTGTTTTCTGTCAATAAGTTAAGATTTCAAATAATAGCTGAATTGTTTGTTTATTTATTACATGAGTCATAACAGTGAATTTATTTTTACAATAAAAACAACGATGTGAAATTCCATCGAAATTACGACACGTTTCGAAAGATTTTCACTTAGAATGTCTTGTAGTTTTTTTTTCAATACTGTTTTTAATGACTTAACGCAGCGACATTCATTTCATACATTAATCTTTTCGAATATTGATAAATTTAAAATATTTTAACGTTTTAATTAATAATTAAATATAACATAGAATGCACTCAAACCTCGATATAACGCTCTCCTGCATAGTGCCATTCTCGTAAAGTGCCAGTTGAATACTTGTGTACCGATCTTTCTCATAAATACTGTATAAACAGAGAATCTTTCAGTATTTTTCATTACTTAATTTTGCATTGCAAACGATATTGTTTTTACTAAATCACGTGACTATGAACATCCTCAGCTTGTATGTAATCCTCATTATCATATTTAATTCTCGTCGGGGATCGACGTTCAAGTTTTAGAGACGAACAAATGGTAGCTCTAAATCAAAGTTTGAGTGTGTTCGAAATAATTATATTTATTGATAAGATAAACATTTTTATCAAATGAACAATGCACCTGAGAAAGAAAAAAGAAAAAAAAATTGACGAAACAAACTAATAAACACCAATTAATTTTAATAAGTCTGATATGATAAATAATGGATATTTTATGATGTTTTTGTATTCTCCATTACATTTAAGGAGGTATTCCGGAGATCCTCAATTATAAAATAAATACTCGCATCAAAAATTCAAATTAAAAAATGATAATTAATGAGAAATCGAAAACAAAATTATATTTTATTTTTCACTGCTTATCATTTTTAACACTATTATNGTATTCCGGAGATCCTCAATTATAAAATAAATACTCGCATCAAAAATTCAAATTAAAAAATGATAATTAATGAGAAATCGAAAACAAAATTATATTTTATTTTTCACTGCTTATCATTTTTAACACTATTATTCTGGATAAAAATAATATTTTTTTTTTATCAGTCAACCAAAAACTAGCATGAAGTCAACTTTCATATAAAGAAAACATGTTACCAGTTTTAAAAATACAGAGGTACCTTAAGGTTAATTGTAACTTAACACCTGCTAGAGATCACAGACATAAACAAAGAGATTACAATTAGTTTTAAATGAAAGTGTTTTGCAATTAACGAGATAGTATACAGAATTTCATTAAAAATCTTCATATTAATTATACAATTTTAATGGTTTTAACTGCATTATTTTCTACATTCTGTAATGATATAAATGAGCATGTAATAATTATAGAAAATTTTATAGTAAAATTCAAATATTTATTTCTTAATGATCCAAAAAACGAAATTGTTTTATTTTCAACTATTACAAAAATATGAATTTAATGGAAGCAATCTACTTTCATTCATCACTTATTCCCTTGTATTGCTTAACTTATCCTACTTCAATTTTGCTTGTTTATATTTATTACTTTATGAGATTTGATTTTATTTTTAACCTTGCGTAATTAAAATACTGAATTATTGAGGCGCTTTCTCTGTACATTGCTTAATTGATATTGATACCCTCATTTCTATGCTTATTTCTTTCAGATTTCTATCTTGATCACTCGTTAACTGCTCTCTTTTTTGAATGATTCTGAATAGTTTTCTATATATTAAATTTATTATTACTCTTAGATGATCCAGAATGTTACTAGGATAGAATCTTAGTAAGTTAGATTTGATTATTTATCATTTCAATAAGTTCATTCATTCGTTTTTTTATCATTTATCAATTGCTTCACTCTTACCATTACAAGTATTTAAAACCAAAGTTAATAACATATTTTTTTTATAAATTAATTTTTTATATTCGAGTGTATATATGTGTAATACGACAATACATCTGTACTAAAATACTTGTAGTACTGGTCACAGCACGATATCCAGGATCCGTAGAATTCCGAAATTTGGGGTTTCAGAAGATCCCGAGCTTATATAATTTATTTTAATATTAATTAAAGTTTTTTCGTGAAATACAAAAAAAAGAACTATTCATGCTAGATTTTAATTTTTCTTAGATTGTTACGAGACTAAATTTTTCAGGAGACTCAAAATTATAGTTATTGATTCGTAATTCATAATCTCAAATTGTCTCTCTTGTTATATTGAGAAAAATTATAATATTATAATTCTTTTTAATTATTTTATAGGAATAATAGTTATTACATGTATTTATCTATACTAATATTATAAAGGGGTAATGTTTGTAAGTTTGGATGTAGCGGGTAATCTTCGAAACTACTCATCCGATTTCAAAAATTCTTTCACCAATATTTAGAATGGAACTTCAGGGTGGACATAGGCTGTATATTATTCCGTTAAACATTCATATAAATTAAAATATATAATCTAGGTTAAGGCTTTTATGTCCAACAGATGGCGCTACGAGTACGACGCCCTAAGTTTGCTTTTCTGTGAGGCATTATGCTTTTCTGTGAAAATGAACTAAAGCGGATCATCTTCTATCTATCTATATAAATAAAAATGTAATGTTCGTTTGTTCCTACCGATTCCTTTGAAATTTTGACACAACGCTGCATTCGAATACGCACGTGTTTTTATATAATATACTGTACATTACGAAATTCCTCCCACTGGGAGAAGATGGTTAGGATTAAGGCTTACTGTAAAGAACTCTGCTTCTATTATACTATTTTAGATGCGGTTTTTTGTGTTTTTGATTGCATTTTAATAGGGTACGTCAAGAGAATGTACACTAAGAAAGGATTTTTCGAAAAATTCCCCCCCATGGGGAAAGTGTGTGTTATACATTTATAATAGATACATTTTGAGCCACAACAACGCGTGGCGGGGTCTGCTAATATAGTATACAATTATGAATTCGGACTTTGTTTAATCAATATTTGTTAAATATAAAAATTTTTAATAAACATTTTGCTGACTCCAAACTTTTTATCAGGAAACGTAAAACAATTAAGTTAAAGATAATTTAACTTATCAAATGCCGGGAGTTTCCATGCCATGTCAACTGTATTAAAGAATTTCTGTATATTTTTCAAAGAATTTTCCTAAATTGAAATAGTGTTTGATGAAAATCGAATTCAGTTGCCAAAGTAATTAAGTTCCTACCGTTCTTTCTCATATCATATAATTGTGAATTAGGTTTATGATTACAAATGATGTAATATGGCATATAGATGAAAAGTGTTAATTGGAATTTGGATCTTCGAGGCACACACTACAGGATCAAAACCTTGCCATTACGTAAGCTAATTCGATCTATTAACCTAATTAGAAGAAAAATTCATCTTATATCGTTACGATCTATCAAAACTAAATATAAATTATGTAGAAATACGAAATTAGATATCATTACATTGCATTCATTCATCGTTGCCTGAATATTAAAAGTGTCGAAATTAAATAAAGTTACGATGTATTTATTACGCAGAAAAAAATAGTATATACAATGTGTTTCGTGTTTATCGCTTCTTTATTTATTATCTTACGTAATATTTTCATTATCAGATTATCAGTCCTCTACCAAAACGTGACTATTTATCCATAATTAAAACACTTGACACCCAAATTTTAGGAATCCAAAACAATTTACACTGAACTAATGGAAAAGAAGATGTCAGGACGATTTTAAGCTAAGTATTTTATATATAGCCTAAATAGATAAATAAGTTTTTCTCGGGATTTTCTTGTTTGTTTGTATTTTAGCTGTGAAATCTGTTTAATTGGGACAGTAATCTTCAGTCTGAATAGACTTTACTGTAATAAAAAACAATAAAATTTTTATAAATCAAAATTTATATAGGTCGAAGATAAATGTGAAGTTACTAATACATGATATGGATTCTTCACTCTTTTAAAAATGTAGTAATGACTATTGTAATTATTAATTATTTACTGTGAAGATATAAAATATAAAAATGCAAATAAAATAATGTTGGAGGCAATTTTCCACATCAACAATTATGATAAAACTATTATACTTAAAGAATCACAGTTTTTTTCCTTCTATTGAAAATTATTAATCTAAATATGCTATTTTTTTCGAGTAATGAAATTATATTTTTAGCATTAATATGATGAAAAAACCGCATTGGTTTAAAGGTAATCCAATTGCAACAAAATATAACTTTCTACACGTGTATTTAATAAATAACTTATTTATGTGAGAATGTATTTTTCATACATATAAAAACTAATATTTTCTGCCAAAACGTTCTTTATTTTATATTCTTGTAATCATTATTAATACAGTAATTACAATTTCCAATAACACCGGCATCGATCTACATATAACGTATATTTGGATGTTCGGGCCATCAATAAATGAGAAATGAAAAATAAGGCGTACTTGTGTATAATGTACTCGTTCTATTCCTAAGTTTTTCGTATGGTATAAAATAAAAATACGTATATATAAATAATGCGATGAAAGCACTTTCACACGGGTTATAAATATTCAAAGTCTATCTATAGAAAATAGGAATAAAATGAATTTCGAGCTTATTTAAAAAAAGAAAAAAAATCGAATTTAAAATAAATAATATAACTATATTTTATTTATTTGAAAGCGTATTTCTTTCCGGAAACGTCTCCGATTATTTATAGGTATGTCTGAATGTATGGAGTTGCGTCAAATTCGATAATCGTAACGCGATTAGTGGGCAATGATCTCATAGCATCTAATAAATTTTATTTCTTTATCATTAACGATAACGGTGTATCAAATCACGTGGTATATGCAAAGATGTCATTCGGAGAGTAAACTCGATCGGAGAAAGTCGTAATTCGTCTTCTATCCACAAACATGGAAAACTGGAAAAAGTGGTTATGCTTCTTTATTGGTTATTTCGAAAGTTTATTATTTGCCGGTATCATTTACGGTTGGCCGAGTTTAGTATACCTTTTTAAAGAAGATCACCTTTATAGTCACCTGTGTTCTAATATCACTGTAGCGGTAGAATCTAATGTAACTGTTGCAGTCCACGCGGAAATGTACACCAAGAAGACACAGGTATGAGGTTGCTATATTAATTTGTTATTGTAAACGATTCTGACATAAGTATTTTTTTTTAATAATTATTATGGATTCATTAAAAAAATATTTTTAGGTTATCTCAACCCTTTCTTACCCTACACAGTTTTATCTGTGTAGGATATGAATGTGTCGTAAAGCCTTGAAGACTGCAATCTCAGATTAAATTACATAACAGTTTATAAATCATTAATGATTATTATAAATATCAATATTTTATTACTGTCTTATTTATGTTTTTATAAAAATTTCAGGTTATCAGTTGTTACTGTATTAATTTTTTTAAAATTAACTTATTTTGGTGCGTTTTTTTTCCTCTGGTGATTTTATCAAGATAAATGTTACACTATCATTTTTTGATATCTTCGATAATATATTTTTTTTTAAAATCAATACTGATTATTATTATTTCAGATTTATTATCTAATAACTTTGATAAATATTGTTCATTTTAAAATTATAGTTTTATTTCTAAGGTAAACTATATAAATTGCTACGAAGAAGATAGCATGTACAATTTGGCATTTAGTATAGGTACCTGTATACTGTCCACTTCTGTCTTATTTGGTGCATTGATATTAGATTATATGGGTTTAAGGTTTACTAGGGTATTAAACAGGTATAAAATCTCTTACACTTACGTAGAAGAACATAATATTTATAGATTTTAATTATATTTCCTTTTTTTCAGCATCATTTTGGCATTAAGCTTTTTATTATTTGGCTTGTGTAATAAAGGTAATCAAAACGAATTAATATATTTTTATTAACGCGTATAATATACATAATAATGATAATAATAAATAGAATATGTTCTTGTTAATGAAAGTAGAGTAGTTACTGTTTAGATGCCGAGTGCACGAGTATTAAATAACTAAACTATACGCTTATTGATCTAATTTACAATAATCAGTTATCATTAACCAGAGTTTAAAGTCGATATTATTATCTTGCTTTACATATATATTAGTCTATATTTTAACACACCAGAATCGTTTCTACTGGTTACAGGTAGGGTAAACCGCGATAACTCTCTTATCAAAGTCGTAACCCGAATAAAATTAAAAGTATGGTAATGGTTTCAATGATACCTGTATCTCCTCATTATTGTACTACAGATAACGATGATTATCTGATAAACACAATGTAGTTAGTTACTGTTTAATCAGTGGCATATATTCGAAATTAAGTGATCTACTAAAAGCTTAAAAGCAAACAAATATTATCGACCTAATTATATTGACTACTTCCAAATTGAACTTTATTGAATTTGTTGTTTATTCCATGTGTTTAAACTGTAAATTATGTTAATGATCGTATAAGAAGATAATTTTAAAAGCAACTTATAACCATTTTTGTTGTAAGGTTTGCAGTAAAATTTCTCTATCAAAATTTAGAAAAGATGAATTTCTCTATAAAAATTCCTTACATTCAAAAAAGCTTTATTTGAGACAATAACTTTTTTGCAAGTATTTTTTTTTTTAGAAATATCATAAAGTTTCTTCCATTTTTCAAATTCTGGACGATGGTTAATACTGATTCGTTCATTAAAATTGAACTGTTTCGAATTTATATTTGTATCATCACGCAATTGCCCTGTTTCAGTGTTCATAAACGCGCACCGCAGTGTGCAAAAATTAAAAAGAATTCGAGTTTTATTGAAATTTGTGAATAAAATTTGTGTTTTCGTGAATTTGTGAAACGAAAAAAATAGTCGGTAAATTAATATTAAGATTAAAAGGACAATATTCCGTAAAACCAAATGTGGTTGATGGCGTTCTCCTGGGAGACAGATGGCGAACGGTAAGATGCTTTTGAATTTTTGGTTTTACGGTCGGGAGTGTGAATTAAACAAAATTCTATTTCTAAAAATAATCGTAAGTAAACAAAATAAGTGATAACGAACGAAATGAAGTCGGGTTCTCCCTCATAACATAACTAAATGGAAGATCTGAAATTTTATTTTAATTTCGAAGGTAGACAAGAGTTACGTGGGGCATATTTGCCTTACTTTACTTTTGGAAACGCATATGTCAATTTAAAAAGTTGTTAAGTAAATTAAATGATTTGAATTCTGTTAACGTAATGTAAAACAATTAATTTATAACATATTAATTTTCATTGCTAATAAATCATAAAAATTTGATATAAGTATAATATAGTAACCTTATATTAATTAACTTCCGTATAAAAATATTCATAGATCTAAAAATAATTTTTTAATAGTGAAAATAAATCATTCTTTACTTTCAGAAAGACCGTATCTTATATTTTTCGGAGTAGTTTTATTAGGATTAGGAGGGGGTCAACTTCGCTTAACAGATCTACAAGTAAATAAAAATGATCGTTTATTTATAATCTGATAACGTTTGATAAAGCGTTAAAATTTTTCGTTTGTTAAGATTGCAGATATATTTCCGAAAGCAAAAGCTACTGTAATTGCGCTGTATGGCGGAGCCTACACGGGATCGTCTATCGTATTTCTGTTTTTTAAAGTAAGATTTTAAAATTGTTTTTATTTTTATTATTAAAATTTTTATTAATTTGATATAAATTATGTTTCAGATAGGTTACGAATTTGGAATCTCTTGGCGCACTTCCTTCTACTTTTGCAGTATATTATCGTTACTCATGCTAATTCCTACATTTTTATTATTTCCGAAGATTAAATTTAATTCAGAGGTGCATAAATCCAACAAGGTAACTCAAAATGTAATCCATAACGATGAAAAGACTCCTCTGATCGTCTCTACCAATACTAAACATAAAATTGGTACGTACTCCAGTTTTTTATCAGTTTTAATAGACTCTTGTATGCATAATGTTGTTTATTTTTTAGATCATGATCATCCACAGAGTCAAATTAGTATTGATAAATCGGTAGAATACATGAAATCTTTGCCATTATCTCATTCATTAACTTCTTTCTCGTATCTCATCCACGTTTACTCTATTTCTATTGCCTGTCTGGTGGTGATGATATATAACGGATCTTTTAATGTATGGATTAGTGCCGTGACGAAAAACAACGAAACTGGTAACTAACAGCAAATAATTAAAATATTTTAATTAAAAACTTACAAAAAACACATCCGAAATTGGCTTTTTATAGTAAGTTATTTGGTGGAGGTGTTTGGTTCCATACAAATATTAATGGTCATTATCGGACCGGTGGTAGGCACTATGATGGATTATGCCGTGAATAAAGCTAATACAGGTAATTAAAATAAAAAAACTGGTTATAAAAAGTAAAATATTAGCAATAATTTGATATTTTTGTATATCGCAGTAAAAGAAGCCATTAGCAGAAGGAAAAAAAGACAGAAGGGAGGATTTTGGGCTTTGCTAATAACGTTTATTGTAACAATAGCATTACTGACTTGTACTTTTTTTTCGAATATTAATGCGATTTACGTATCCATATTTATTTATCTATTGGCTCGATCTATGTCTATCTCCGCTCAACCGGCATATATACGAGTAAGGTAAATTCATTATGTTTCTAACCTATTTATTCAGTGTCAATTATATATTATTGTTACAGAATTTCAGATATATATGTATAGTGGTGTCATCTATTTCGGCACCAGTGCATTTCCGGACTTAAGCTAACAGAACTATTTTTATTCTTTGTCCTGCCAGGAATCCATTCCGAAGTTTGTCCCCATAGTTTGGAACAACCCTGTATGTATATAGTGCAGTATATTCATATATTGTTACATAAATTTCAGGTTCCCGCAGCATCATTTCAATGTTTTGACTGGAATATCCGGAGTAGCCATAGGTTTTCAAGCATTGATACAATATTTTTTCTTTATTTGGATAGGAAATAACCCATTATGGGTAAGCTAAAAACTTAGTCTTTATTACAAAGAAACAAGTAATATATTTTAAAATGTTTTATGGTAAAAAATTGTTAGTCATTAATTTTCGCACAGGTTTTATAACTGCATCATTCAATAATTTAATTTTAATTTTAGGCTCGATCGACATTGCTCATATTAGCAACTATCAACTTTGCCAGTCCTTTTCATCTATTATGTTTACCAGTAATGAAAAACTATAGCTAGCTCTTCCATAAAAATCAATATACCTCGTAATATCAATTCGGGTCATGAATCTCGACCGTTTATAACAATTATGTAAATACTTTTTACCCAGATGTAAAAATTTCGATAATAATAATTCATTATTTTAACAAATTAACCATGCTTATATTATTGTTTATCAAAATTCAGAATATATACGTTTTAAATTTTTAGTAATGATAGGTATTTATCTATTTTATACATCGTTTTCTATATAAAATTAAAAATGTCTTGAAATTTTTTTATGAAGTTATATTCCATGTTAGCAGTTTCAAATTGTTTTATATTTTCTAATGAAAAATAATATGATAATATATAACAATTCTAATTAATTTAATAGCATGTATGTGAAATACTTTATTTAAAAACAAATTGGATTTTGATATCTATAGAATATTTCATGTAACAATGAAATCTGTGTAATGTCCATTCAGATCTGATATATGATTATAGCATTGTGTTAACTCTGTATCATGATTACATTTATGGCTTTTGTTCACTTAAATTTATGAAAAAAATTACATTATATATTATGAAATCTGTTCATAATTCTATATTATTCATAAAAATTAGTATAAAGATATGCATTAATATCTTTCAAAAACATGAAAATTAAGATTACATTTACATTGGCTTATGGAATGTATAATGTTTTTAAATGAATTAAAACAATCTCTGTTATAACAGTTTATTTCATTTCTGTATCAAATGTACATATCGTGAATAGAATTTCACTAACATATTTGCATGCACTTTCAATAAACTCTCAAACTATTTAGAATATGAACACTTTTTCATGTTTTAAACAATTAAATCTTGGTAACAACAAGAATTTATATTTAAAAAATGCTTAAATTAGAAGCAAAGAATGAAGAAACTACTTGTTTGAATCTGGAATGTTTAACTATTTTTGTATTTAAAAAGTAAAATTAACATTTTAAAAATTATTTTTCTAGTAGAATTTAAAGAATAAAGTGCATATATTTTTTCAGTATCAAAATTAATGATAAAAATCTGATTATTTTTCTATAAAACTAAAAAATAATTTAGAAATACAAAGAAAATGAATGATTAGCTGGCTTAATCAAAAAAATTAAGCAATAANAAGAAGTATAGCACAAACACTCGGAAAAGCAATGCTTAACTCGCGCATGCCTAACAACAACTAAAATTTGACACAAAATACCGTTACGTTCGTTATCCGAATTTTGTTCGTTATCCAAGACAAAACTTTTGCAAAATAAAAGTTCGTTAACCGATTTGGTCGTTAACCAGGACGTTCGTTAACCGAGGTTCCACTGTAATTTTATATTTTAGTTGCAGTTCAACCAGCATGCCAGTAACCCGTGGGTTTCAGGCATGCTGATCTCCCCAGTTTATATGTGGCATGCCAGTTATTCTGTCAAAATTTGGTATAAACTCAAAGTTTTTTTTTTTGGGAGAGCTCAAAAATTAACAGTTTTGTTTCATTACAACTACAGTGTCTAGGTTCATATTCTTTAGTTTTAATTCAATCAATTTCTGCTTCTATTCTTTTACTTCTGTCAGATCAACATCTTTAGCTTTCTCATAAATCTGTGAAAGTTATAATGTTTTGAGCTTTGAAGCTTTCAAGCCAACTATTAGAAACTTTGACTCATTCTTCAAATGTGTGATAATTCTGTCGTTCTTTTGTAGAATAGGTCTTGAAATTGGAATATTATATAGTCTTGTATTTAGAAACTATTCGTACATTATTCTGTTATGAGTTTCATTTCTGGTTTTTCAAATCTCCCTGATGTTTACCATTCAGTCATTCTTCTTGATTTTTTTTTTCTTTGTTTCTCAGAATTTGATAAACTTTTGTTTTGAAACAACTAAATTTTCAGCAGTGTTCTTTAACACTTAAATGTTTTTCTTCATTATTCATGAGCTTATTTTAGATTTTAAATGTTGTGTATTCATCTTTATTCTTGACGTTTCTGCTATTCTGAATTTCAGTAATATAATAACTAATACTGTAAAGTTGCACTACACAGTGATGCTTTTTGTTTAAGCTAAAAGTAAGACTAAAAATAGAACACACAAAGATGGCATTATCAGACACAGTTTTTGCACATTATTTATCTTCACTTCTGTCTTAAGATTGTTTTACTTTTTGTGGACTCAAAATTGCAGTGTGTGTCCACATTAAGCAGTCTCTGGCTTAAACAGATAAAATTACATTAACTTGTATATTACAGGATAAGGGACTAGAAGAAAAATCATAATAAGCAGGTTTCCATTATACTGGGAGTCTGGTTTAAACAGTTTCCACTGTATCATTATATTAGATATTAAAGTAAAATTCATTCTGCATTCAATATAAAGAGTAACTCCGATAATGACCATTTTGTACATGAAACCCCACACAATTTGTGAAAAATGTGAATTGTTTTTGAGGTTTGCAAGGAAGTAACCAGTTAACATTGTAGTTCAGCTACCTAAAATTTTTCTCAGAAGAAAATGCAATAATACATATTGAGCTTTTATGGAGGAAGTTTTGTATACTGATTCCAGAGTTCTGGCTATAATTCTAAGATAAAATTTTTTAAAAATTCGTTTAACATAAGAAAATTAATTTTTTAAATTTTAGAATCACAGTTAATATTAAATTAATGCAGCAAATATTGTAAATATCATTTCAAAAACTACATGCCTTAGCATTGATTGTAAGTTATATGTTCAGATGTTACTATAAAAATACACATTTAACAATGAATAAATTGCTGTTAAATTAAAATTGGAAAATAGGATAGTAAAAGTGAATAAGACATTCCCCAGTCGAATAAATTGACTCCATTGGATAAAAGAAATCATTGGAGTATGGAAAATGTAATATTGTAAATATTAAAACTAATTTTATTACAGTTGCATTCTATATTTTACAAAAAACTTTTATTTTGTCTAAATGTACTTAATTATGATTTCTTGATCACTTATCATTTTGCTAAATTATAGTATTTTTTCTTAAAAAAAAACAGTAAAACCAAAAATAGTTTTTGGGCTATATTATCACAACCAATAAAATAAAATTATTAAAATATCCACTCAAATATATTATTTAAAATCTGAAGTTCCTGGCTTTAATCAGTTCCAAAATATTTTTGACCAAAATGATTTGGAGCAACAGGATGAACTTCTGATGTCAGTGTTGTCATTGCAGGAAAAACCTTGATGACAGACAATGCAGCTGTAAAATAATAAGTGAATAGTAAATATAAAAATATATGTATGTATTGAAATAAAAATATTTAGTTGATTAACATCTTTGCAGTTATGACTTAATGTTCTTAGATTAGATAAAAATTATGAATATAATAAATTCCTAGAGAATAACAGTATTTGAACCAGTTACATATTATAATTCTATATGATTCACTAATTCTGATAAATAATTAATAAAATATTTAAACAATCTTCATATATTTTGATATCAATAGATTCAGCCATAAATAGCAAATGAAAGCTTAAACAACTTAAATTGTAAGGAATAGAACAAACCACATTTTTATTTATTTATTTCCTTTACAACAAAATACAGAATACTTCTTATAAAGTTACTAAAAAACCTACTTTATTGGAATAATTTTTAACATATTTCTTATTCTGAGTACTTCTTCAAAAGCATCAAACCTCAAAAACATTCTAAACGGAAGTCTTAAAAAACATTTAGTTATGAAAGAATCTGGAATTTAGATTCTTTTGTAGATAAATATTTTCTGAAATTTCTCCTGAAAAGGTGTGTGTTACATTATTAAATTGAGAGAATTTTGCATAACACGTATAGATTGTTTTTTTATTGTATTTTAGAAGAGTTAAATAAAACTAATTCATAGAAAAGCAATGATATAAAACTTCTTTATTGTTAGTATCACTGTCCTGCAAAATGTCAAACTTTTATGAATGTAAGTAAAATGTAAATGTGCAAATAAACCAAATTATGATATTCCTCTTGGCTATGAATAGATGAACAAACACATTCATAAGATGAGGTTGTAGGTTTTTCTAATCAGTAAATGATCCTTAGTTGTCCTTTAAGTGACAAAAAGCAAGTTTTCATAAACTTTTTTTTTTGCATCAGATTGTGAAAATATAATCCTTAAGTTCAAATTTAGAATTGTTTATTTCATGTGCTGAAATGTGCTTAAATTTAAAAGAATTTTTTTTATGATAAAGTTTTGACTTTTGCTTCAATAAAAGTTCTCTTCTCAGTTAATTGTTTTATTAAATTAATAATAAAGTTTGAAACTTCATTCTAATCCACTTGTTCACACTTTTTTTATTTTTGGTATTTTATGTGTTGAATTTTGGGTGTTTTTCTGATTGCTAATTTCAAACTAAGCCGTGATTATGGCCTAATATAAAAAATTCAGGAGCTGGCATTTTTTTTTCAGCAACCCCAAATTGTACAGTCATCATTAAATTGCTTCTAATCGTAAAAATTTGAATTTTTTGTGACTGTAAAATATGCTTATGTTTCATGTTCATATTATAAATAATCTAATTAGCATATGAAATGATATAATTCTCCTTTCATTAGTAGTCCTTTTGGAATAAATAAATTCTAGTTTCAATTATAAGAATGTCAACAGAACAATAAATTTTACAGAGACTTATCAATTTAAAATACATAGCCATATAAAAATCATATTAGAGAAATTCATGCCTTACCATGGGGAGTACAAAAGAGATTCAGAAGTATTATATTTTCTTCTTTTACACCATGTTCCTTTAGAACTTTAACTGCTTTGATAACAGTATTACCAGTACCTGAAAAATGTTTTAAGGTAACACATGAAAATTTTAATTAAAAAAATAAAAAACAATTATAAATATGCAAGTTTTTTAAATTTGAATAATATGGAAATCTCTCTCTCTCTCTATATATATATATATATATATATATATATACACACACACACACAATATATGTCATTTGTAATGCTAGCAATTTTATTTTATGTATGTTTCAAATACATTTTTATTTTCTAATTAAAATAAATTTATTAATTAATTTTATTTATTGTGCCAGTCCAACTTTTTAAAAAACTTCATAATACAAAAAAGTAATGAAATATATATATTATAACATATTAT